CATTAAAGGAGAACTATGGGGTCAGTGTTTTTCCCCATAGTTCTCGTTAGGGTAACGGGAGGACACAAACTAGCGTCCTCCCCTCACCCTAAGCTCCGTATACCGCCGCAGCCGGGACGGATCCCTACATTACTGACGAGACCCACCCAGCTGCGTGATTGACAGTTGGCTCTGCCTATCTAGAGGCAGAGCCAGCTGTACCCGCCCCCGTCCGTTCCGCCAGTCAGCGCTGGAGGATCAGAGTGGGGAGGGGGGAATCTGACAGGCACGGCTCTCTGCAGGGATAGATCGAGAAGTGAGTGAGCGACGGTATGTGTTCGCTCACTTCCCGATCTACTGAGCCGACCTGTGACAGTCTCATTGTCACAGGTCGGCTAGAACTATGAGGAACTATGAGGATGAGTGAAAAGCACTCACCTCATAGTTCTCCTTTAAACATTCTCTTTTGATTTTTTTTTCTTTTGGCTACAAAGTAACTTTTAAACATTTTTGTAGCATGTTTGGAAGGGTTTTGCTTGGGACAGACCTGGAGCATCGCTGAGAGAAGTCTCAGGTTTGTTCAGCTGTCTCTGATTTCTAATCGTCAATTTCTTTTTTGTATTCCATACAGAGCAGCATTTTCTACAACAGTTGGAGGAGCTGGGCATCCTGTCTTTCACCCCTGCCAGGACTGTAATGGGCGCTCATATTGCAGCACACGATGACAGGTCCGGCACACTGTGGCATTTATGTTCTTTCCTGTAGGACTGAGTCTAAGTCTCATTAAAACTTTTTGAATGCAGGACAAAGCAACTTACAGGGTTACTTTTGGTGCTGCCCACCTCAACAGCACATGCTCATTTTTGCCTTGCTTCCCCGCCGCTCTGGAAGGCGAGAAGCCTTGTGTAAGCTCTAAGTTTCTGTAGCTGGAGCTTACGCAGGGCTAGAGACCATCTCCCTGCCCCATGTGACAATGCTGGGCCAATCACCATGCACTAGAGCTGTCACATGACAGGAAGGGGAGCAAGTCACATGCTCCTCCATACACTAAAGCCGGGGTAGCCAAACTCCGGCCCTCCAGCTGTGGTGGAACTACGAATCCCATGAGGCATTGCAAGATTCTAACAGCCACAGACATGACTCCAGGAGAGAGAGATGCATCATGGGATTTGTAGTTTCACCACAGCTGGAGGGCCGGAGTTTGGCTACCCCTGCACTGAAGTATCAGCTAAACGAAGCTCTGGGGGAGCAAAGGAAAATGTATTTGCTGCTGGAGAGGGGGCATTAAAGTGAACCTGTTGCTTTGCTCTGCATAGCTTTTAGTTTTTATCAAATACTGTGAATGTCGTCTACTTTTTTATGCTGTTTGTCGTCTAAATGCAGAATTTATATAAATAAAAATGTAACAAGGTGATTTTTCCCAAGGATGATTATTATTGTGACTGCAAGGAATTGGGAACCTTTAGATCCTTGGTTCTCAACTGGTGGGTCGCGACTCTGTGTTTAGTGGGTCGCCGCATGCCTTCCACTTTTCTAGGTGAGATCCTCCTCTGTCTCCCCTTAGCACAGCACTGTCAGTTCTCGTGCCAGGCAGCCATTCAAAATATGCTACCCGGCGCCGGGTGTCAGCTTAAGGAGGGGTGGGCTGGAGCTATGGCCGCGAGGGAGCTCCATCCATACATGCATTGCTTACTGCTCCCTCACGTGTCCTGTAGAGGTGCCTGGACTGGAATGACGTCACATTCTGGCTCCCGGCACATCTACAGGGTGTGCAAGGGAGCTATACAAGCATTGCAGCAGCCCGCACTGAACCCCAGGCTGAGATCCACTCCAGTTCTTGTAAGGTAAGGAGACTGGGTGGACCTTAAAAGGAAAAAAAATGTATGTGAGATTGTGTATGCATGTCAGTGTTTTTGAGGGCCCATTCACCCTAGTCATAGTGTTAACGCACTGTACCACGCAATCACACCTACCGTACATTGTGGCAGGTGTGTTTCGTTGCCATTCATTTGAATGGGACCCCAAACCCCCCCCCCCCACACCTTTCCTAGGGCC